ATTTTTTGAGTTCCAGGTATGTTTTAGATATGAGACCCTTGTCTGTTGTATGGACAGTGAAGATCTTCTCCCATTCTGTGGGCTTTCTATTGATCTTTCTAGCTATGTCCTTTTCCATGCAGAAGCTCTGCAATTTCATGCAATCCCATTTGTCCAACCTTTCTTTGATTTGTTGTGTTTCTGGGTCTCTATTAAAAGAATTTCGGCCTGTGCCGACAAGACCTAGGGTTTCTCCTATTCCATCTTATTATGTTTTCAGAGTATCTGCTTTGACTCCAAGGTCTTTGATCAATTTGGAGTTGATTCTAGTGCAGAATGATATATATGGATCTAGCTTTAGTTTTCTACAAGTAGTTAACCAATTTTGCCAGCACCATTTACTGAAGAGGCTGTCTTTCTTCCATTCCATTTTTTTAGCTCCCTTATGGAAGATTAGTTGGCTATAGGGCTTTAGGTTCATTTCTGGGTTTTCAATTCTATTCCATTGGTCCTGAGGTCTGTTCTTGTGCCAGTACCAAGCTGTTTTGATTACGATGGCTTTGTAGTAGAGTTTGAAATTTGGTATTGACATTCCTCCAGCAGTGTTCTTTCTGTTGAGGATCGTTTTTGCTATTTGGGGTCTTTTATTGTTCCATATGAATTTTTGAATTGCCTCTTCTATTTCCTTGAAGAATGAGGTTGGAATTTTGATAGGTATCACATTGAATTTGTCGATAGCCTTGGGAAGTATTGCCATTTTCATGATGTTGATCTTTCCAATCCAGGAGCATGGGAGGTTTTGCCACTTTCTAAGTTCTGTTTTGATTTCCTTTTTCAAGTTTTTAAAGTTTTCATCATAAAGGTCGTTCACTTCTTTGGTTAAGTTTATTTCTAGGTATTTTATTTTTTGTGGGGTTATTACGAATGGAGTTGCTTTCCTAATTTCAGCCACACTTTTCTCATTTTTGGCATACAGAAAAGCTATTGATTTTTGAGGGTTAATTTTATACCCTGCTACTTTGCCAAAGTTTTGAATCAGCTTGAATAATTTGGGAGTGGAGTCCATGGGATTCTCTAAATACAAGATCATGTCATCTGCAAAGAGGGAGAGTTTTATTTCTTCTTTCCCTAGTTGAATCCCCTTTATGTTTGCATTTTGTCTTATTGCTGTAGTTAGGCATTCTAATACTAGATTGAAGAGCAATGGAGAGAGTGGACATCCTTGTCTTGTTCCTGAGTTAAGAGGAAATGGCTTTTTTTCACCATTAAGTCCAATGCTGGCTGTAGGTTTGTCATATACAGCCTTTATTGTATTGAGGAATGTTCCATGGATTCCTAATTTTTCCAGAACCTTCATCATAAAGGGGTGTTGGAACTTGTCAAATGCTTTTTCTGCATCTATTGAGATAACCATGTATGTTTTATCCTTGCTCCGTTGATGTGATGAATTATATTAATTGATTTATGTATATTGAACCAGCTTTGCATCTCTGAAATGAATCCTCTTTGATGGTGGTGTATGATTTTTTGGATGAATTGTTGAAGTCAATTGGCCAAAATTTTGTTGAGAAGTTTTGCATCAGCGTTCATCAAAGAAATGGGTCTATACTCCTCTTCCTTTGATGAGTCTGGTTTTTGGGATGAGGGTTATGATGGCTTCATAGAATGAGTTCAGTAGTGAACTTTCTCTTTCAATTTCATTGAAGAGTGGGAGGAATATTGGTGTGAGCTCTGCTTTGAAGGCCTGTAGAATTCTGCTGTCAATCCATCTGGTCCTGGGCTTTTCTAGATGGGAGATCTCTTATTGCTGTTTCTATTTCAATACTTGATATGGGCCTGTTAATATGGTTTAACTCATCTTGGTTTAGTTTCAGCATGTCAATATTTGCTAGGAAGAGGTCCATTTCTGCCAAATTCTCAAACTTATTAGCATAAAGTTTTAAGAAGTATTCCCTTATAATGATCTGAATCTTGATTGCTTCTGTGGTGATGTTTCCATTCTCATCTGTGAGTTTATTTATTTGGGTGTGTTCTCTTCTTTTTCTGATAAGATTTGCTAAGGCTCTGTTAATTTTGTTAATTTTTTTGAAGACCCCACTCTTTGTTTTGTTAATTCTTTCTATCATTTTTTGGATTCTAATTCATTTAATTTTAATTATTTCTTTCCATCTACTGGATTCGGGTTTATCTTAATGCTCTTTTTGAAGGAGGCTCAGAAATCTCATTAAATTGTTGGTTTCAGATCTCTCCAATTTGTTGATGTAGGAACTCAGAGCTATAAACTTGTTTCTGAGAACTGCCTTTGCTGTATCCCAGAGGAGCTGGTAATTGTGTGTTCATTTTTGTTGAATATCATGAACATGTGAATTTCCTTTCTAATCTCTTCCATCACCCACCCGTGATTCAGCAGTGTGTTGTTCAGCCTCAATGTGTTACACTACTTTCTTGGTTGCTTTTGGTGTTGAGTTCTAATTTTATTCCCTTGGGGTCTGAAAGAATGCAAGGTATAAATTCAATGTTTTTGAAATTGGACTTTTGCTTTGTGGCCTAAAATGTGGTCTATTTCAGAAAATGTTCCATGTGCTGCTGAGAAAAACGTGTTTTCTGATGGTGTTGGGTGAAATATTTGTTCGATGTCTGTCAAATCTAGTTGATCTATGCAGTTGTTTAGATCTGCGGTTTTTCTGTTGAATTTTTGCTGAGTGATCTATTCTGTGGGGAAAGTGGTGTGTTAAATTCCCCAACAATCAATGTCATTGGATCTATGTGGGATTTGAGGGAAAGTAGTGCTTCTTGGATAAATTTGGGTGCTCCGTTGTTTGGTGAATAGAGATTTAGAATTTTAATATTCTTCTAAAGGAGAGATCCTTTATTCAGTATGTAACAACCTTTTTTATTTCTTCTTACTAATTTTAATTTGAAGTCTATTTTATCTGATATTAGGATTGCAACTCCCGCCTGTTTATGGGGGCCGTTTGCTTGGTAGATTTTGCTCCAGCCTTTCACATTGAAAATGTGTTTGTTTTTGTGGGCAAAGTGTGACTCCTGAAGGCAGCATATAGAAGGATCTTGATGTTTAATCCAACTAGACAGTCTGTGTTGCTTAATTGGAGAGCTAAGGCCGTTAATGTTGAGAGATTGGACTAAGAGGTATTTGGGAGTTCCTGCCATGTTCTCCACCTTCTTGGGGGCTGGGGCAACTGGGTTTTTCCTATGGTTCTTGGATTCTCAGTTTGGGTGTGGATCTTGGCCTTTATTGTGGTCTTGTTGGTTTTCTATGTGTAGGACATCTTTAACAATCTTTTGTAGGGTTGGTTTGGTGGAGATATATTGTTTCA